TATCTTTCGCTCTTAGGGGTTTTTTCTCTTAGTACCCTACCCCCTTTTAGGAAACTAGCAGAGACATGAGTGTTTTTCCCGTTAGCTTGGATTAGAAATTTAATTTAATTAAGATCAAATTCAGGGTTATCCAACAAACTAGGTTTGCAAAGCAAAATGCACACACACAAGTGAACGTTTTGACTGCAATGGCGCAATAATTTATTCCCCTTCCCTTTGCACAAGGATTTTTTTGTTTTGGTCTGTTTTTTTTGTTGGGTTTTGTTTTGTATTTAATAAAGAAGTAATTGTTGCTTTGCGTTGTGTTTGTTGAACTTACATTAGGCTAGAAGACACGTTTGCTTTTCACCAGACAGTTTCTTCTCAGGTAAAAAGCTCGCTTTAAACTCTTGATTGATATTGTCACAGTAGACATGATTTTTGTTTTGTTTTTGTTTGGGTTTTTTTGGTTTTTGTAGTAGAGTCTTCTGACCTTTTAAACCCCAAAATAACATACATGGCTTGGACTTAGGAGTGTTTTGCTATGTTAAATCTTAGTCCAAGGAACAATAACGGAACGATTCATTAAAATAAGGAGCCAAGTAGAGCCGCTTTTTATTCTCTGAGGGTAATGTCAAGGCAGTCGTTTTTAACTCTTTGTTATCAATGATTTTTAAAAACTCTTTGTGCTCTTTGATTTAAAAAGAAAATGTTTTGAAAGCAACCACACCAGTTCAGTTTCTCTGAATTGCTTGTCTGTCAGAAATCCATATAAAAAAGAGTTTTTCTTTTAAAAATCTGTCTTCTCTTTATAGTCTTTTCCTTTGTGGCTTTGCTGGTTTGTTGTTGTTTTTTTGCTGTTGTTGGGTTTTTGTTTTTTGTTATTTTTTGGTCGTTTTTTTCACTTGTTTTTTATGCACATCTTTCTGGTATGAAGTGGGATTTTTTAAAACATTAATAACAGACGACAGCTGATCTCTGTACATTGAACCTCCCTATGTTAACAATTTTACTTATGTTTGAAATCGTCTGATATTCTTTTGTGGGCAATTGTTTGATGCTGGTAAAATTTGGACAGCTTAATAGGACTTTGCGAATGAACGACCACAGTACGAACAGGGTTAAGTGTAATATATATTTTAAAAAACCCAAGAAAACACAACACTCAAATAAGGAAAATACAAGAAAAAAGTCCACCCCAAACAAAACGGAACAAAACAGACAAACAAACAAACAAACAAACAAACAAACAAACAAACAAACAAACAAACAAAACAGACAGTCCCCTTTACAGAAGTCAACTTTGTGAAAGGTACAAATCGGTGTGCTGGTGTCAAAAAGCCAAGCATCCTGTATGACACAGGTTGAACCGACGCGGCAGTACTGCCTACACAGATGGCCACACAATCGCACCCAATCGATGGGCCACGTGATCATATCACATCAGACCCCACGGTGGTGATGAGTTCAGGGCAGTTCAGGCTACTGCACATGGGCCCTAACTGTTCTTCTGTCTTCAGTTTTGTTAGTAAGGCAGAGGTATACAAATCCTAGTCGACACATTGGAGGTTAGGACTATGTTTGAAAGGTGAAATGCGTGGTGGGAGTGGTTCCTTGTTTTTCTGGATGAAAATAGGTTGAAGTTGAAGGAAAAGTGTGACGGGTGCTGTGTGTTGTTTTTCCTTATAATTCAAACCCCGGATATAGACCCCAAGGGCTGAATCTGCTGCCCTTTTAGGCAAGTCGGAGTTGCTGTGCTGTTGGGGATGGGCATTAATGAGGAGACGCGTTATTACTACTACTACTACTACTACTACTACTACTACTACTACTACTGCTACTGCTGCTGCTGCT